TAGCAACTACAGCATATCATACCTTGCCTTGTTTCGGTTTCTCCTTTTAAATGGCGAATACTATTGATAGCTGCTGATATAGACAGCTAATTCCTCTCACGCATGTGCAGAACGCACGTGTTTAGTTTGCAGTCGGCTGTAGTCTGAGTGTTCTAGCGCAGCTTTTTGGTCCAAACACTGCCGATGCAATGCGACAACACTGTCGCCTGTCGCCTTTTTCGCCGCTAGTTCTTTTAACTCAGAGAGTTAAGAAGGGAATTAGCTGGGTGGTTGAGTGGTAAAAGCCTATAATAGTTTAACACACTCTGACTGAATCATTATCAATAAATCATCCAGATCATTAAGCACCCAGCCTCCACTAATTTTAGAGGGGAGAGAGCTGTGTTCACACATTCCATGAAGTTAAGCACTCATTTGCAGGTACTGTGAAGTGGTGCACTGTGCTCATGAGGCAATCCCAGGAACACTTGAAATGAGGGCTATCCAAATATTGAAGTAGGTATTCTCCAGATATAAGTAGCCCTCAGGCCAACCCATGAGAGGATCTGCTTCAGCACGAACAGTCTGAGAAAATGTTTATTTTATTTTTTAACATGTATAATGCGCTCGTAAATGGGGAGACCTGTGCTTTTTATATAGAACTGGCCACTTTAAGTGGCCCAGGAAACTTATCTTGCTGCAAGGGTGCTGGCCACAGCAGATTTATCATTTGACTGGCAGGGGATGCATGCAGAAATTAGTTTTATACTTGTTTTGTGCGCACTACCCCTTGGGGAGCGTCATGTGCCAAGGAAATCAAGGTATGTGTGTCATAGGGCAACAGGGGCTAACAAATTTGTACCTCTGAAAATGAAAGCATCTTTTACTGAGAGTTCGTCTCTCACTCTGAAGTATGGAATCAAGTCCTTAATTACCTCTTTGATGGAGGATGGCCAGCCCTGTGTGATTTGCTTCCAGTCCCTAAATCAGTCACTGAAGTAGAGCAACATTGAAGAAATGAGAGCCACAATTTCAGGCTCTATATTGGCTGAAGAGTGAGCAGGTGCAGGTAAGGGAAGACGAGACAAGCAGTCAGCTGTGTGATTCTAGGAACCAGGCCAATAGACAATCTTGCAATCAAATCAAAGCAGACATGCGGACCAATGAGCAATCTGCGTTCCAGCTCGCCCCATGCCTTTTGTGGTTAAGGGTGGTGAGTGCCTGATGGCCCCACAGGTAAGTTTGCCACTTTTCAGTTAGTTCACACACATGCCAAAGCCTCCTTCTCCAGTATGGAACATTTTGTTCAACTGCAATGAGAGTGTGGGAAGTGAAAGCTACTGTTTTATTTTGTTGTTGTTTTTTTGTTCAGTTTCGTCAGGCAAACACTGCACCCAGTTCATACTCACTTGCATCTGTGGAAATCACTAAATGAAGTGCAGGGTCATAAAAGGCAAGGGCACGACTGGACACAAGCATCTGTTTTAATGTCCTCAAATCTGCATTGTGCAGCAGAAGTCCTTAAGAACCGTCATTTTTCTTTAGCACACTCACGCATGGAGGCAACAACTTTTGCAAATCGATGGAGGAATTTTAAGTACCAAGACACTAGTCCTAAGAATAACTGTAAAGATGCTGCATCAGATGGGGCTTTCCAGACAGCATCCAGATGCTCCTGATCAGGTAAGATTCCATTACTGTTGATTACATGACCAAGGAACCACAGTGAGGTCTGTTTGAAATTGCATTCAGTTTCTTAAAAACAGTGCTGAAGTTCAGATCATGTCCCTCAGCTGTTTTTCCATATACATTGAGATCCCTTCAGGATGGCAGCCATCATCTTTTGGAAAGCAGAAGGCACCGAAGCCAAGCCGTAGGGAACCCTGTCTGTCATGAGTGATGAACGCTGTGATATCTCTACTATCCTCATGCAGGGGAAACTAAAATGCATTAGCTAAATTGATAGTACAAAATACTGTGGCACCCCTAATGCTGGTAAGCAGTGTGTGGTAACGGGCAACAATCTGTAATAACAGCCTTGTTTACTTTCCGTAGGTCAGCACACATCTGTATCCCACTATTCTTCTTGCCTGTAACAATGATGGGGGACACCCAGGCAAAAGCATCGACCTGTTCAATAACATCAGCCATCAGCAGACAGTCTGATTCAGCTGATGAAGAAGCTCTAACTGCAAAAGGCAAACGTCTCAGTTTTTGGCACACTGGTTTTCTTTACAATTGCTACAGTTCTCAATTTCTTTCTGTAATGTGAAGTCAGGCTCGAGTAACGACTCTCTAACATCATCACTTTGTAAATGTTCCAGCAATTGATCGCTAATCATATCATCCGCTTTAGTATTACCAAAGTCACATTTAGCAGCGAGTGCATGCAAAGCAGCAACATATTGCTGTATGTTTTTTGTGTGGGGCTTGATTTCCTTTCCTGAATTTATGCTGCTCCACGACAACTTTAGCTTTGGGAATGAACTGTATTTTTAATGCAGTGATAGTGGTATCATCGCCAACTTATGTTTAAAGACACGGCATTCCAAAACCCCGTTCTTTATTCAGAACATCAAATTCATGTTAGCTCTTACTAAGTTCTTTTCTCTTATTTTATCTTAACTTATCTCTTTTTTGACACAGGGAAAAAGTATTGAACACATGATGAAAGGGAGGTGAAAGGGCATGGAAAGCTGAAAAATTAATGGAAATTAATATTAGCTGGTTCAGTCCCGACACCTACAGTACCAGGATGATGAAGATGAAACAAGGGTGGACATTTCAGCAAGACAATGATCCCAAACACAGCAAAGGAAACTCTCAGTTGGTTTCAGAAAAAGAAAATAAAGCTGCTTGAATGGCCCAGCCAATCACCTGACTTGAATCCAATAGAAAATAAGAACTAAAGATCAGAGTTCATAGAAGAGGCCCACAGAGCCTTCAAGATTTGAAGACTCTGTGGAAGAATGGGCCAAATCACACCTGAGCAATGCATGTGACTAGTTTCTCCTACAGGAGGCATCTTGAAGCTGTCATTACCAACAAAGGCTTTTGTATAAAGTATTAAATAAATTTCAGTAGTTCAATACTTTTTCCCTGTGCCATTCCATTATATTACACGTAACTTAATTTCTGAACTTATTTGTTTTGTTTTAATTGTATGTATGGGATTACTTGGGTTGTTACCAACATCTGGTGAAAATTTCATGTCAACAGCATGTTTAGGAAATATATTTACTGGGAATAATGGTGATGTGTTCAATACTTATTTTACACGCTGTATGTATATTTTATACAGCCAGTAACATATTTATTTACTCACAAATGCAACCAAAATATATAACATGAACATTTATATGAAATTTCCACATCCTGTACCCGACATTCACAACAACAAAAATAAATAAAAAATAGGCATACACTCTTTTGAAATAATAAAGAAAAATAAATTAGTGGGAAAAAATAGTCACATTTAAGATCAATAATTTTATGATATGACAACAGTCAAGAACGTCTTTCAGGCTTCTGTGTTAAAATGTGCAATGTGTAAAATATAGTGTAAATTCTCATTAGGAAACAACAAAAATTAGGTACTCCAGATCCAGTTGTAGAAAAAAAAACATTAATGCAGAAAAATAAATATAAATAAGAAATTACAAAAATAAAGCTGTTAAAACTTTATCAAAAACAGAGAGACAAAATTGTGTCTAAAATGTACCACAAAATTAACTTCTTGTTTATTGAACTGTTGTATAAAATCGATATGACATTTGCATGACTTTTGTTGGCAAATTTGTGTGACATTTTTGTACAATCTATTCACACCCCTGAGTGTTAAGTTTTCAAAATTTTACTTGCAAGGAATGCAAGCAGTACAAAAAAAAATAATGATAATACTAAAAAATCTAAGTGTTTCCACGTATATGCTTAATTTTCTTCTCAAATATTATTTGACAATATATATTGGCTAATATATTTGGTATATATTTGGCTAGCTGTTCCAGGAGACACAGAAAGACTCTCCCGTGAATTTAGAAATGCATTGGGAAAAATAGTATGATGAGGACATCTGCTGGTCAAAAGCTGGTTATCTTTAATAACAGGTTAAATGTCCTCTTTATCTTTAATCAATGACAGCAACCACAATGTACATGTGTAAGCAGCAGTTTAGAGTCTTTATGTCTGTTTTCATTAAGGAAATGTGAAAATACATTACAAACAAGAATGCATATAGCATCCGAAACAACATTAGATCAAGATACAGTACAACACACAAAAATATTTATAAAATAAACGGTGGTATTACTTGCACTGCTTTCCCATTCTTGTTATTCTTTATAATCTATGATTTTTTTAAAAGGTACACATCTTAAAGTCTAATCAATAAACAATTAAATGAGCAAAACACTTTTTTTATCCCTTGTAAAATACAGTATGCATGCTCTACAAGTTTGTGAGGGTGAGCTCTATGGGAGAAGCACATAGACTCTTGGGGACAAAACATGGTGTATTTAGAGACTATGATATGTGTCTACCTTTCATTTCATCCTGAGATGTTAAGAAGACAAGGCAGTGACTGAAAAATTATTTTAAGGAGAAAGATGTGATTTCTGTTATTACCAGAAAGGTTATACATACAAATTGTCTATTCCTCCATTTTTTGCCTGTCAAATGATCTTAAGTATCTAGTTTGGACCCTTGAGCAGATTTATGTCACAGTAAAAACAAAAGCTCAGATTCGAGGTAAATTGAAATACAAGTATACAGTCAGCCAAATCTAATAAGCATTAGTATTATTGTAATTAAGTGCATCATAATTCTTCTGATGAATTATATCGGAAACTATTTAATTAGCAGTAATTGTACTGAGCAACAGATATTTTTGTTCTCAGAATGGAAAACGTATATGATGCATGTTGGTTGTGTTGTTTATAGGGAACCTGAACAGTTTTTTTTTCTTTTAGTTTCATCAACATAATTTGAACAGAATACTGCATGTGCAGAGAGTTTTATTCAGCATGAAGGATCTTCCTGCAGAAAATATTTCATTCACAGACTTCAAACTGATTGGTTTCTACAGCCTAGGAGAATGGAGACCTTTATTATTTGTCCCTTTCTCTCTGATGTTTTTATTAGCTATCACAGCAAATTCTATGATCATATATTTAATCACCTCTCAAAAGTCTCTGCATTCTCCTATGTATGTACTAATTGGTCTCATGGCTGTTGTAGACCTAATGTTGCCTATATTTTTTGTACCTAATATGCTTCTAAACTTTTTGTTTAATTGGACTGGGATATCTCTAACTGGTTGCTTGATACAAATGTTTAGCCTTCATTTTGTTGGAACATTTCAATCTACTTTGCTTTTGTGGATGGCACTGGATCGTTACTTTGCAATTTGCAAACCTCTTTATTATCACAAATACATGGAAATCCCTAACTTTGTCAAGTTTGTTGTTGTGCCAGTAATCAGAAATGTACTCCTGGTAGTCACCACAGTCTCTCTGGCAGGAAAACTGTCATTTTGTGTAACAAATATCATTGATCATTGTTTTTGTGAACACATGGTATTGGTTCAGTTAGCATGTGGAGATATAACTATTAATAATATTGTAGGACTTTTGACTGTTTTCTTTATCCCAACTGCAGATTTTATTCTTATCAATATTTCTTACATTGTGATTTTCACCTCTGTGTTCAAGTCTGGCAAAACTAACATGAAGGCCTTAAACACCTGCATTACTCACTTCATTGTTATGTCAGTTACTTTGACCTTTGCCTTAATTGCATTTTTGTCATACAGAATAAGAAATAATTTTTCTCCTAGTGGTCGTGTATTTGTGAGCACAATGTATTTACTTTTTCCAAGTTGTTTTAACCCAATTATTTATGGAGTGAGAACAAAAGAAATAAGACAAACATTTATAAAGTTCATTAAAAATTTTAAAGTCTTACCATTGTAATGAATCAAATAAAAATGGAGGTTACTGTACTGTACTGTAGTATGGTAAAATTCTGACTCTGTCACTTTATTAGAAGTGGATATTGTTTTGATAAAATAATAATAATAAAAAGGCTATTAAGTAGGTGTATTATTTACATAATTAGTATGTCTATTATTTACATAAAATTAAATTTCCAGAGCAAGATATCTGGTTGGGTTAATAAACTGTCAACATGTTTCAATACACTCATGTTTAAAACAGTTATAGCATTTCTGTTGTGATTTTGAATGTTGCTTATAATGTTTGCTTTTAATGATGCTATAATGAGCTGATGATCTGAATCAGATGTGTTTGATTAAGGAGACATTCAAAATGTGCAGAGTTGGGGGGCTCCAGCATGCAGCAGGCTCAGGTGCAACACTGACATAAGGAAAACACATTTAGAAGGGGACATTTTAACTCTAAAAATCAACAGTATATTTGAGCATAGATAGCGCAGGCTGATAAAATTCACACAGAACCATTTCAAGCCTTTTCAGTGGCATGCTACTCTTTAAAAACATCAGGGACTAAGGGGAGTGGATGGGGATTTAGATATATTAAATTTTCATGAAATATATTTTTTTGTAATTTAATTCTCTCCATCGGCCTATTAACAGATGTCTACAATAAATAAATAAAAAAGAATTTTACTGTACATTTAATTTACATACATATGCATCAAAATATGATTAATAATAACAATATGCAATAACATTATCATAATACAATAATAAATAACAATATGAAATAATAATGTTTCTACATGACAATAATTATTCCAGTAAATAAATACATATTTGTGATGCTAAGGATGGTTGCCAAGGGTTTTGCGCAGTGATACACAGCTCTGTAGCTGAAACAGTAGCGCATGGCTCTAGCAACAACAAGGTTATGTGTTTCCCAAGGAAAGCAAAAACTAACAAAATGTGTACCTTGAATGCTTTGGTGTCAGTGAAATGCATAAATGTAAATATGTTTGGTGAAGTGTCGGCAGCGAGGACTGGAATTTATACTGGAATATACTGGGGGAAAAACATATGGAACATATGGACCTATGGAACATTTGTGTGTTGTGTTATGACCATGGTCTTATTATAGATATTTCAAACTCTATGGCCTTTTGGCTTTCAACAATTTAAAATTATGACTTATACCCTGCATTTGAACATAACATGAGCTTCATATATTATTTTGCTATATATTATGTTTTTACATCAACGGAAGGTGGTGTACAGATGTAACAGCGTTAATGAAGATGTGCTGTCCCGATCTAGAAGCACTTTTCATTAACTCTAAGCCGTTCTATTCGCCCCGCGGGAGTTCCACTCGTTCATTCTCATGAGTGTTTACATTCCTCTGCAAGCGCACGTGAGCATGGCTTTACAGAAACTTGCTGATCAGATCACAGAGACAGAGCAACAACACCCGTTTTAATCATTCTCGGGGACTTTAATAAAGCAAATCTTTCCTGTGAACTGCCAAAATACAGACAGCACGTTACATGTCCCACCAGAGACAGCATATATTGGACGAAGATGCTTGCAGGAATGGGTACAGATTCTTGTATAAACAGGCCAAATACACACTGGAAAAGGAGATCAGAGTGGCAAAGAGGAATTTTTCTGGAAAGCTAAGGAGCCAATTCTCTTCCAGTGACCCTGCTTCGGTGTGGAAAGGTCTGAAAGACATCACCAATTACAAGACACAATCCCCCAGCACTGTGCAGAATCAACAACTGGCAGACAATCTGAACGAGTTTTATTGCAGGTTTGAAAAAACACCATTCACACCTCCTGCAACTCCCCTCTCCCCCACACCTTCACTTCAGATCAGTGAAGATGATGTGCGTCAGGTCTTCAGAAAGAACAAGAGAAGAAAGGCACCAGGCCCAGACGGTGTGACATCAGCCTGTCTGAAAACCTGTGCTGACCAGCTGGCCCCCATCTTCACACAGATCTTCAACAGATCACTGGAGCTGTGCGAAGTCCCCTCATGCTTCAAACGCTCCACCATCATCCCCGTCCCAAATGAAACCCAAAATTACTGGACTTAATGACTACAGACCTGTGGCTCTAACGTCTGTGACCATGAAATCATTTGAAAGACTGGTTTTGGCTTATCTGAAGGACATCACTGGACCCTCACTGGACCCCCTGCAGTTTGCCTACAAAGCAAACAGGTCTGTGGATGATACAGTCAACATGGGACTGCATTACATTCTGCAGCATCTAGACAGACCAGGGACTTATGTGAGGATCCTGTTTGTGGACTTCAGCTCTGCTTTTAACACCCAAACCTCCTCCTGCCCAAATTAACTCAGCTCTCCGTGCCCTCCTCCGTCTGTCAGTGGATCACCAGCTTCCTGACAGACAGGCAGCAGCTAGTAAAGCTGGTAAAATTCTCATTCAGCACCCGTACGATCAGCACTGGCGCCCCCCCAGGGTTGCGTCCTCTCCCCACTGCTCTTCTCTCTCTACACCAATGACTGCACCTCTAAAGACCCCTCTGTCAAGCTCCTGAAGTTTGCAGACGACACCACACTTATCGGCCTCATTCAGGACGGAGACGAGTCTGCTTACACACAGGAGGTTAGAGAGATGTCTGTCTGGTGCAGTCTTAACAACCTGGAGCTTAACGCGCTCAAAACTGTGGAGATTATAGTGGACTTCAGGAGAAACCCCCCTGCTCTCCCCCCAATCACCATCATGGACAACACTGTAACGACAGTGGAGTCATTCAGGTTCCTGGGCACCACAATCTCTCAGGACCTGAAGAAGTGGGATAATCACATTGAGTCCATTGTTAAAAAGGCCCAGCAGAGAATGTACTTCCTTCGCCAGCTGAGGAAGTTCAACCTGCCACAGGAGCTGCTGAAACAGTTCTACTCCGCCATCATTGAATCCGTCCTCTGCACTTCAATAAATGTCTGGTTCAGCTCAGCTACCAAATCTGACCTCAGAAGACTACAGAGGATAGTCCGGACTGCTGAGCGAATCACTGGTACAACCCTCTCTACTCTCCAAGAGCTGTACTCGTCTAGAGTGAGCAAAAGGGCTGGCAAAATCACTCTGGACCCCTCACACCTAGCACACTCCCTCTTTGAACTGTTGCCATCTGGTCGGCGCTACAGAGCACTGAGCACCAGAACGGCCAGACACAGGAACAGTTTCTTCCCTCAGGCAATCCATCTCATGAACATTTAACAATAAACGTGAAACACACAACACTATTATACATTATTGTCGTGGAATGTCGTGGAAAAGTTCATTTATTTCAATAATTCAACTCAAATTGTGAAACTCGTGTATTAAACTACTTCAGTCTGTGTGCATTTAATTTATTTAAGTCTTTGGTTCTGTTTAATTGTGATGATTTTGGCTCAGATTTCAGAGTGCTGTATCCAAGCATGTTAACAGAAAGTTGAGTGGAAGGAAAAAGTGTGGAAGAAAAAGATGCACAGCCAGCCGAGAGAACCGCAGCCTTATGAGGATTGTCAAGCAAAATCGATTCAAAAATTTGAGGAATGGACTGAGGCTGGGGGTCAAGGCATCAAGAGCCACCACACACAGACATGTAGTGTTGCTTTCGTCAACGAAAATTATGACTAAATATAGTTGTCAACAAACCTTTATTACGTGATGAAAACGAGACGAGACTTGCATCAGGTCGCACTGCGCAGACGCAGGCGACGTCACTTCCTCAAGCCCCACTAGCGGAATTATTTAGCCCAGTGTTTCCCAACCGGTCTATCGAGAGCAGGGGTGCCATGTAAAAAATCCTTTTATTATATTTATAAATTGCTAAAATGTTCAAAAAAGCAGCCATTATATAATATCCATTTCTAATGCCGCCAATAATTAGAGATGCACAGAAATTCCGGCTGCCGAAAATGATGGCCGGCCAGCTGGGGTTCGTCTTTATTTAAATTTATGTGTGTGTACTTCTAACATGTTTGGTTAGTCAAATAAATGTTGTAAATTCAAATCAGAGTGTCTTTCATGTCTGGAATGGATGTATTCTTGAGTCTATAAGGTAACAATAATATAATAAGATAACCTTGTTTGAAATGGGTTTGGCTAAAATAAAATTTTGGTTTCGTCTATACTACTAGGTACTTATACTATATTGACTGGGTTAAATAGAATTGCATTTCTAAAAAGAGACTAAAATAAAATTTTCATTGACTAAAACTAGACTAAATGTCATCAGTTTTCGTCGACTAAAACTAGACTAAATGTCATCAGTTTTCGTCGACTAAAACTAGACTAAAATGCTCAGACTTTTAGTTGACTAAAACTTGACTAGACTAAAAAGAGTATGAACGTGACTAAAACTAATAAAAACTAAAATGACAGTTTCACACAAAGACTAGACTAAAACTAAAATTAAAACAGGCCGCCAAAAACAACACTACAGACGTGTCAAGGACTTTTTATTATCTGCGTCCTGTCTTGTCACTGTCATTCTGTTACACTGTGGAGCTTCTGTAACTAAAATAAATCCCTCGTATGTGTAAACATACCTGGCAATAAAGCGCATTCTGATTCTGATTCTGATATAGATTCAGCAATTTATTGCCTCAGAGGGGCGGCATCAGCACCATCAGCCAATGAATTGACAAGTTTGTCTATGGGCTTCAGACAGTTGTCACACCTGAGGGGTGTTCCAAAAGCTTAATCAAGTAATCAGGCTCAGTCTGCGCCAACAGTCTTGTGGGCAGTGTGCCAACATGTAGCCCCATTGCGCTTCAGGCATCCCGATAGATATTTAAAAGTAATCAGGCTCACTCTTGACAATCAAACTCACCCTTATAAGCAAGTGCCTTCACCATCGTTGGTTTATCTATCCCTGCGGTCTGCACAAACAATACAATATCAGCTTCTTTGTCTTCAGTAAGACTGTTTGTGCACATGATTTTGAAAAATGATGTGTGCTGGCATGTAGGAAGTTTATTACCCCAGAGAACACACCTTTGT